ATACTAAATACTGAATACTCCATAATGAATAGTCCATACTATAACCCAGATATGTGAGCGTCATAGAGGCCCCCACTGCTTTTTGGAAGTACAATTAGTTAAAAATGTCCTGAAAAAGACTGTGTCCAAAGAGACGTTTTATCACTTAAACTAAAAGGCCTACAAGAAATATGTTATTGTTCATTAAAATAATAATATAATCAGCATACTGTCAACCAGAGGTGGGAAGTAACTAAGTAAACTGTACAATGTTGAGGTACTTGTACTTTACTTGAGTATTTACATGTTATGCTACGTTGTACTTTTACTCCACTACAAGGGCTTTTCCCTTAATCTCCTGGTTTAGTATGTCATTTATGTTTTTGCTGTAATTGTATTTATTTTTTACTTTGACTTTTTTGTTAATTATTATAAATTAAATGTTACATTTTATTTTTTATTTTATTATTTATTGATTGTATTTTTATTATTTATCTTATATAATTCTTTGTGTTCATATTTAGAAATTATATTTCTATCAATTATTTTAAATTGTATTTTTTTTATGTATTAATTAATTAATTAAATCTATTTATTTTAGTCTTTTTAATATAGCATCATTCTTAAAATACCACCAATATCATATATAATTTATATTTAAATAAACTAATACATATGCTCAGGGAATTTCCTTTATCCCATGATTTTGTTAATCCTATTATTATTATTATAGAAATTGTTTTAATGTATTTTTATCATCCCATTTGTTTCAATTAACTATTTATTAATTAATTAGATTTTTTAATGTATTTATTTATTATTATTATTTTTATGAAGCTCAGCGCAAGTTCAACCAGGAAAACCTTCTTTACTCATTCATTTACTATGTCCATGTTACTACTCTCTCTCCTCTCAATAAGTGATCGGGGGCGTCACTCCCCAGCTTAACCAATCACTTCGCTCTATTCTCACAAGCCTATCACAGCTGTCATTTCAGGTGACTCGACGCAACCCTCCTCCACCCCTTTTCACCTCCTGTCCCTCTGAATCCAGGGTCAAGCTAAGCCTCATGTGGTTTTTAGGTTGAACAGTTTAAAATGAACGCACTTCCTGTTTCTGATATTTCTTTACTTTCCTCATTTTCAGCTTCACATCCTCTTTCTGATTATCCATAGTTCAGTCTGTTAAAATATAGTAGTTGTATTTTGGTAGTTTCTTATTCTTTTGTGCTTTTTGGTCACTTCCTGTTCAGCTTAATGTAAGATTAACCTGAGTTAATTGAAGGTGAGTCTGTCTTATCATTACATTTTTTGTTTTCTTGGGGTTTATTTAATTCACAATTAATTTCTTATTTTTGTGGTTAAATCTTTCGTGTAACGTCAGAGGTCCAACTCGGTGTCGTGTAGCCATGCCCGCATCTCTGGTCCTAAGTCGAAGAGGCTGGCTTCCGAGGGTGGTCTATATAAAGGGCAGGTGGTGATTATGTGTTCGGCAGTCTGTTCAGGGTCACCGCACTCGCATGCAGCGCTGTCTGCCAGGCCCCACTTCTTCATTGATGTTTTGAAGCGACCGACCCCAGTTTGTAGACGGTTTAGTGTGGTCCATTCCCGGCGTGGTAGGTCGTCTCCTCCTATGGCGCCATCTCCTGGGTCCCAGAAGTAGCGATGGATGTGGGAGGGCCCGGCTATCTCCCACTCCTGCTTCCAAGCAGCCGCCAACCATGCATCTCTGGAGAGGTCCTCAGGTGGAATTGAGCATCTCTTGTGCTGCCTTGTTGTAGAGGAGGCGGGACTTGAGCCTACTTAGAGGCGCTGCAGTCGTTATCGTGTTATGCAGGATGTGCCAGTCATGCAATGTTTTGTCATTAATCCACTTCATGAAACTTCGGGTATTTTTACCTTTTTACTAAATTCAAATTGGTTTTAGGGAGATTGTTGAAATGACTCTAATTCCTGTTTTGCATTCATATTTTCAAAATAAAGTTAGTTTTATTGTTGTAATCATCAAGTCTCTGGTACTTTTTGTCAAAATGTGGAAAAGTAACCTGAGTTCAATGCAGGTGAGTTAATTAAATTGTATTTGTCTTATTATTTAAAAAAAACGTGTTGCTATTTTCTTTAAATTCACCCTTTTATTGTGCAATTCTGTTTAGTTTTTAGGCAACACAAATAATGTTTCTAATGAAATTTGGGGGATTTTTACCTTTTACACATTCGTTTTTAGGAAGAATATCTAAAATTACCCCACTTCCTGTTTTTGATATTATTCACTTTCGAACCTGTGTGACCTTGTTTCAGCTTCACGTCCGTAACGTAAGAAAGGAAACTGTACTCCCTTAAAGTGACATAACAAAATCAGATGAAATGGTGGATTACTAGCCGGATTACAGCGTTATTAAAAACCTGAAAAGAGCATTTAGTGTTTGTTGTAAAGGATCAGATGTTATCTCTTCTCTGTAAGCTGTTAATAATGATAATACTTTCAGTGTCAATCTATACTGCCTGAATCTGCTTTATGGTTTTCACTTTCTTTGCTTCATTTGTTCTGTTTTTAATTCAGCAGCTGAACCTATATGTTCATAAAATAATCAAAATAGTGTGTGTGAGTTTAACTGTGTGTGTTAAACTAAAACGGAGCATTTTCTGTCAGCTCAGATTTGATTTCTGCTTTTTTAAACCGTAGTATGTGCTCATGAGTTTCACTGTTGGAGTATTACTGACTGAATATGCTTCATGAAAGGCAGCTTTTCCTTTAAATACTATCATTTTTGATCCTGAATATCTTTCTTTTCTAAAGTCACATTGTCCGGTTTCTTACATTATACTGTAAGTAAAACACATCTTATTTTCTCTTGGATTTATCTGCAATGATATTGAGGTAATCTAAAAGTAACAGATGGTATCAGGTTACTAAGTACTCAGATCTTGTACCTAAGTAAAAGTAGAAGTACTCAGATCTTGGACTTTAGTAAAGGTAGAAGTACTCAGATATTGTACTTGAGTAAAGGTAGAAGTACTCAGATCTTGTACTTGAGTAAAAGTAGAAGTACTCAGAACTTGTACTTGAGTAAAAGTAGAAGTACTCAGATCTTGTACTTTAGTAAAGGTAGAAGTACTCAGATCTTGTACTTGAGTAAAAGTAGAAGTACTCAGATCTTGTACTTTAGTAAAGGTAGAAGTACTCAGATCTTGTACTTTAGTAAAGGTAGAAGTACCTCAAAATTAATAATAATAATAATTTTGATTTTTATAGCGCCTTTCAAGAAACCCAAGGACGCTTTACAATGGGAGATGAAATGAATGAAAATAAAATGTACTTAGTTACTTTACACCCCTGAGTGTAACAGATTACATTTCCTATGAATTTAAGTATCTCTTCTTCTCTGACTAATGTGTGTTCTCAGTAATAAAGGCTCTGCTGTCTGAATGAATCAAAGACTGACGGAAAGAATTCAGCTCTGATAGTGACGCAGATATCTACAATAGAGACGTGTTGTCAGGCTGTCAGCTCCTTATCATGAGTGCTCACACACGCACGCACGCACGCACGCACGCACGCACGCACGCACGCACGCACGCACGCACACACACACACATACATGACCCCTATGACGCTCACTTGTCAATTTATTCTTGCTTTTATGCAAATGCGAATAAGCACTTATTTAATATCAAAACGCTTAATTTGCATGGTCAAACATAACATTGTAATACAAAAAAGACTTGTCTTAATGTAAATCATCAACCCAGGAAGTTTTGTGGTGATATCTGTTGGTTAATGTTTTACCCCATTCAACTGTAGTGCAAAACAAAGGCACCATTGTTTAAAGGATATAAAGACATCAGAACTACAGTATAATAAATATAAAACAGCAGGATTTAAAGTACCATAAAGTGCAATAAGGTCAATATAAATATATGTTGTATTGCCTCAGACCCACTGAGTCCCTGTGGGTAGTAGATCTGAGTGGTTATTCACATCCGTTATTCATTATTATTTCACAATCCTTTTGCACTTTAAAAATGCAGGACTTTTACTTGTAATGGAGTCTTTTCAGACTGCTGTAGTACTACTAAGTACTACTAGAAGTATGTAAAGTGTTTCTGGAGTTTCTGCTGCTCTCTGTTTCCGGCTGGATTCTGGAGATAAGGGAAAGTCACTGGAGAGGTCGACATATGCTGCATTCAGGGACCCCTGGCTATTAAGACACCTGTTGAAGTAGACTAGCAGGATGAGCAGAATACTGTAAAGAATTGGAAGTAAATAAATACAATTACGTAAAATTGTATATATCATTGGTAGGGGTGGAAGGAGTACATTCATTGTATGTTATAGCAAAACTATTCACCGTTATTTTTATAATACACATCTATTTATAATAAATAAAGTTTTTTTTATTCTTTTATAAAATAAAATCGTACTATTAAAACAACTGTTTATTGGTGAAATGTAATAAATTCAAAGTATAAAGAAGTATTATATTTAAATGAAGTCTATGTGTCTCTGTGTGTTTAAACAGTATGTATCTTTACATGTGTTTTCTTTAATTTAATGTAGCTTTTACAATTTTTGTATGTAATTTTATGTTATTTTTATATATTTGTATTGTTGTGTTTTTGTCTTGAACTTTAATCAATAAATCACATTATAGCCTACTGCCTTTTCTGACGTCTTTTTTTAATACTTTATTGCAGGTATTTGCATTACAAGTTATCAGTTATCATTGCATGATTAAAAAAAAAGAATAATACATTGAAAAATGAATTCAAATAAATATATTCGTTAAAAAAAACAGCTTACAAATGAGGAAGTCCAGTAGAATTATGTAATTGTATGAAAAGTACCTAATGAATGGAAAATAAAGGGGGAAACCCGCAGTATTAGGCTCGTGCTCAACAGGTAAACAAATCACAAATATCCGGGGAAGTACAGAATATTCCGATTTAGCGTCACGGCTTTGAGTAAATAGTTAGATTTCCGGGAATACATTGAACGCATCACAGACACACAGCTCAGAGTCCAGCAGACTGAAGGACGAGACACACACACACACACACACACTCTATAGTCTGCGAAAGTGAAAGTGACAGAGCAAAGAGACAGAAAAGAGACAAAGAGAGGCAGAAAGAAGATAACAAGACAGACATCAAACGCCTCTCTGTTTCCTCTTTAGCTACAGAGCCTGTTTCTGAGTTTCTGAGTTTCTGGTTCAGAACAGACCTGAGTCTCTTTATAGTCGCATTGGATCCGGTGACAGTCAGCACAAAGACAGCAACACGCGCCACAGACATGGTGAGTCAATATCTCAACGTATATCACTTGTATGTAATAGATAACATGTGAAATAACGAGAAAGGGCACTTTATTCTAAGAACAACATCAATGTTCCCTTCACCAACCTGCGGGTGAAGTCTTTAAAAAGTGGGTACACTAGTGTGTTCCTTTTATATATGATGACTGTTTAACCAGAAAATAACAGAAATAAGGTTTAAAATATGATTTTATTGAGTTGGAAACACATGAGTTGTAAATTAGGTAGAAATACATTGAGGAGACTCTTAAATAATCACCAAAATAAAAGCATACCTTAAGAAATACAAATAAAAAGCATGACTCTTTGTATTTAAAATGTTGATATATAACGGAATGATGATTATTTATACAGAAAATAACAAAAGTAAGGTTTAAAATGCGATGTTATTGAGTTGGAAACATGTGAGTTTGATGTCAAGGTTTGGGGAGGTGGGTGGCGCAGTGGATAGAGCCTTGATGTTGGGATCAGGGGGTCACAGGTTCAAACCCCACTGCAGTCAGTATGTCGTTGTGTTCCTGGGCAAGACATTGCTCCGTGATTGCCCACAGTATTGAGTATGTAAGTCGCTTTGGATAAAAGCGTCTAACAAGTAACATGTAATGTAATGTAATGCCAGGTAGAAATACATTGAGGGAACTCTGAAATAATTACCAAAATAAAAGCATACATTTAGAAACTACAAATTAAAAGCATGATCTTCCGTATACATACCAAAACAATGAGATTTAAAATGCACAAGCGTTTTAAGTTTCATTACCAAAACAAAAGAAACCGTTAAAAAAAATGTAAAGACAACACCTTGAATATGTTAATCCTGTTATAAACAGCATGTGATTGTCATTGTAATCCAGACATACAGTATCTACATATTTTTTAATATAATTTAAATATTTTTACATTTCATTTCTCGTGATATACATTTTGTTCTACTTCAGCCTTAATTTGAATTCCAATACAAGTGTTTTTCACATTATATATTTTTAATTTCAATATTTTCTTTATTTATCTTGATATTTGTCCTTGATTTTATTTGTATACAACACCACAGCGATCCCTTATACGTGAAACCACTTCATCAGTAACTGTAACTGATTAAATGACTTTTATTTTGTAGTTTAATTACATATCTCTGTATACATCGGCCCTTTCTCATTTCTCTAATTCCCCTCCTCGACGCCCCTCCTCGACTCCTATCCTCGTGTCTTAGTCCCGCCCAAAGGAGATGCGAGCGGAGGAGTCGAGGAGGGGAACCGAGGAGAGAGGAGGGGAAGCAGCAGGCGTTTAGAGAAATGAGAACTCTTCTCCTCTGAGCGGTCATTTTAAAAAGACGTCCCTTAATGATGACAGGAGGCACAGCAGCCCTCTGTCTGATGGACAGATGTGTTCATGACCACTTATATATTTACATTGACAGTGCGGTATAATGAGACAATAACAGGCTACAGATGCGGACATATACACACACACATATTTATATAAATATATATACAATTTCAGAATCAAACAAGTATGAGAGCACTCTCATAATAACATAACACTATCAGAGACCGGATATGCCCCCCCCCCCCCTCTCCCCTCTCTGGTCGCTACAATGAGGAAATGAAATGACGGGCCAAAAGTGTTATTTACAAGAATTAAAAGTAAGCATAGGACACCAAACCAACTGAGACCTGTCTGTCCGCCGCATCTACGCACTGTACAACATGCACCTACACACTACAACACACACACTGTACCACACACACCTACACACTGTACCACACACACCTACACACACACTGTACCACACACACCTACACACTGTACCACACACACACCTACACACTGTACAACACGCACCTACAGCTCCTAAAGCATATAATCAGGCTACAGCCGTTGTGTATTTTATTATGTGAAGCACTAAATGGTTTTAGAAAAATATCGACTTTGTTTGTAGATATCTACTAAACTAAAGCAAATAAAGAGAGTAGGCCTGTTATACTGAGTGATATGATATATATTATACACTCTGCTCTGCTTTCTGCACGGACCTCACAGCTGTTCTCTCTGTAAACATCGCGTCTGATTCAAGCAGTTAATAAAATAATATCCAGGTGATGCTTGCAGAGCTGTCATTGGCTGAGATAAGTCCGGCCGTGCGTCTCGACTCTTTGAAACATCTCTGTTGCCGGAAATGCATCCGCGGAGGAGCCGTGGAGGACCGTGGAGGACCCATCAGTGTATCCTCGGTTATAGCTCCTCCAGAGAGCCTCCTCGACGCTCGATGCTCGGTCCTCGATGTGCATTTAGAGAAATGAGATGTCCTTCAACATGGCGCGCTAAAATTCATTTCCGGGTCACTACCGGAGGACCGAGGAGTCGAGGAGGGGAAATGAGAAAGGGCCATAGACTCCCAAACACTACGTTTTTGGCATTTTTGTCCGTCAACAAGAGCAATGGTTAAATCCCAATAACCTCCATACATCCTTAAATATAAATCTTCTCGATAATAGATGATTCATATGTATTTTATTAGCTTTAGAGGCAGCATTGTGTTCACAGTAATGAGCAGAGTCTAATCTGATAGGTGTGGTTTCCCCAGATAATGCCAGGTACATTAAGGCAGGAGGGAGGGAGGGAGGGAGGGAAGGAAGGAAGGAGGCGAACTGGAATGGGCAGCACTTCCTGTCTGAAGACGGCTGCATTTTAAAGTACAAATCCATTACAAAAAACCCATTGGCTTTTTGTCGATAGAACCAGGACTATGCTGCCTTCAGGGTCCAATATAGAAATAGGACATCAGTGCACCGCTCTTTAAAGAGAGCTGTGACAAAGGGATAATACTTGTACAGATTAAATGAATTTGTTCAAAGTCCTCGAGTCCTTTAGTGTTTTTAAGATCTGATATAATAAGATCAAATAAACCACAAATAGATTTTTATCAGCAACATCAATAATAAGGGGGATCGGACAGGTACGAATTCATTAAAGGATAATAACAATACGATTTAAAAATGTAAGTAACCCTAGAAATGTACAAAAATGGATAGTTATGGATATGTTAAATATGTCAATTTAGAAGTGGCAGTCCAAAGTGGGGTCACTATGGTGCAAGACTTAAATAAAATAGCAACTGCAGCCTTTTTAAAAACAGATAAACACCTTATTTTTCCACGTCTTCTTGCTATTCTTAGCCGACAGTGAACTTGTGTTTGCAGCAACAGGAAGTGAAATCTGTGAGATATGAAATGGAGGCGCAGAGGGCGAGCTTGTTTTCGTTCTATCTGTCGGTTTCCTGTCGCTGCCGCCTTCCTCTCGGGGTCGGAGGTGAAGGAGAAACCTTTCAGGATGCAAAAAGCTTTAAAGTCTCTCTGAATATCCTGCCAGCCTCTTATCATCCTGTGGTTCTACTCCCGGCAGAACAAACACAAGGTGTTACTCACAATCTGGATAAACCTGCTCCGTGTTATCATTTTCATTTCTCTTTAGAATCTGAATCAGGTTTTTTTGTTGACACGTACGAGGAAAACAAAAAAAAAAACAGATAGATAACTATTTTATAATAACATTAAAACAACATTGTGTGCATTAATGTAATGCATAGAGTCTGCGTTGTGGCTAAAGTTTTTACTGTCCCTTTATGAGCTTCTTGGGGTGCGGAAAGCGCTTCTTGTCTGTTTCTTTGAATCTAAACGTCATCAAAATTGTAATTTGGACTAGTGTAATATCTAAGTCGCAATATTTAATACATTTTATATATTTAAAGCAACATATGTGTGAAAAAGCTGCAATAATGAATACAAATAATCTTAAACAAAGGCTCAGATTACTGCTTAATGTAAGGGGTCGCTGGTATTGACAAATAGGGCTGCATCATTTGGAGAAAAGATTATTCTATTATGCAAAATCCACTTCTTCATGTCTCTTCTACATCAACATGTGTCCCCTCTTCTTCATGTCTCTTCTACATCAACATGTGTCCCCTCTTCTTCATGTCTCTTCTACATCAACATGTGTCCCCTCTTCTTCATGTCTCTTCTACATCAACATGTGTCCCCTCTTCTTCATGTCTCTTCTACATCAACATGTGTCCCCTCTTCTTCATGTCTCTTCTACATCAACATGTGTCCCCTCTTTCTTCATGTCTCTTCTACATCAACATGTGTCCCCTCTTCTTCATGTCTCTTCTACATCAACATGTGTACCCTCTTCTTCATGTCTCTTCTACATCAACATGTGTCCCCTCTTCTTCATGTCTCTTCTACATCAACATGTGTCCCCTCTTCTTCATGTCTCTTCTACATCAACATGTGTCCCCTCTTCCTCATGTCTCTTCTACATCAACATGTGTCCCCTCTTCTTCATGTCTCTTCTACATCAACATGTGTCCCCTCTTCTTCATGTCTCTTCTACATCAACATGTGTCCCCTCTTCTTCATGTCTCTTCTACATCAACATGTGTCCCCTCTTCTTCATGTCTCTTCTACATCAACATGTGTCCCCTCTTCTTCATGTCTCTTCTACATCAACATGTGTCCCCTCTTCTTCATGTCTCTTCTACATCAACATGTGTCCCCTCTTCTTCATGTCTCTTCTACATCAACATGTGTCCCCTCTTCTTCATGTCTCTTCTACATCAACATGTGTCCCCTCTTCTTCATGTCTCTTCTACATCAACATGTGTCCCCTCTTCTTCATGTCTCTTCTACATCAACATGTGTCCCCTCTTCTTCATGTCTCTTCTACATCAACATGTGTCCCCTCTTCTTCATGTCTCTTCTACATCAACATGTGTCCCCTCTTCTTCATGTCTCTTCTACATCAACATGTGTCCCCTCTTCTTCATGTCTCTTCTTCATCAACATGTGTCCCCTCTTCATGTCTCTTCTACATCAACATGTGTCCCCTCTTCTTCATGTCTCTTCTACATCAACATGTGTCCCCTCTTCTTCATGTCTCTTCTACATCAACATGTGTCCCCTCTTCTTCATGTCTCTTCTTCATCAACATGTGTCCCCTCTTCTTCATGTCTCTTCTACATCAACATGTGTCCCCTCTTCTTCATGTCTCTTCTACATCAACATGTGTCCCCTCTTCTTCATGTCTCTTCTACATCAACATGTGTCCCCTCTTCTTCATGTCTCTTCTTCATCAACATGTGTCCCCTCTTCTTCATGTCTCTTCTACATCAACATGTGTCCCCTCTTCTTCATGTCTCTTCTTCATCAACATGTGTCCCCTCTTCATGTCTCTTCTACATCAACATGTGTCCCCTCTTCTTCATGTCTCTTCTACATCAACATGTGTCCCCTCTTCTTCATGTCTCTTCTACATCAACATGTGTCCCCTCTTCTTCATGTCTCTTCTTCATCAACATGTGTCCCCTCTTCTTCATGTCTCTTCTACATCAACATGTGTCCCCTCTGTGGAAAGAGACTCTGAAAGTTTCAGGAACAAAGATTCTCTCTCTTTTTGTCCTGATCCATTTCTATAAAAACCTGTCTGAAAATGAGCTGATCAGATTTTGGCCACTTTATGATGTCATAATGATGTTTTGTCTTGTGTAACCATTAGCCAATCAGCAACCAAGGTAACCCCCCCCCCCCCTTATCACCTGAATCTCCTCCGAGAGCACCATTGTGTTCTTTGTAACCAAATATCTCTCAGAGGGGCGTGGGGAGGGGCTCCTTATTTTCATCTAAAGGAACAGACAGAGAATCAGCTCTTTTGAAACAGGGCTGAAACAGAGGGGATTATGGGTAATGCTGCAATGATCTGCTTGGTGTTTCAGCCAATCAGAGACATGCTCTGTATATATCTGAGACCTGTGATATATTGATGAAAAACAGTATAATAGGGGACCTTTAAAGAATCAGAATCCAGTTTAGTGCCAGGTACGTTTACACATACAAGGAATTTGCTTTGGTATCTGGTGGTGCGAACATAAACAATCTAAACAAATAAGTTGCACTGTAGGTAATACAAATAAATATCCAAGGATAATACAAAATAAGTATTTTTAAGAAACAATTTAGCATTAAAAAGGGATGCTAAAGACCAGTATTAACACCACATGTAAATGTAACTATACAAATAGCCTTTTCACATCAGATATAAAACCAGAAATATCAGAAAACGCAGTTATCCCAGTTTATATTATTTGGAAAGATACTCTATGAAGTAGATGGAGATTAAGTATGTATATCTATATATTATATTATATATATATTATATTATATATCCATGGAGGACCTTTACTCCCAGCGGCTCAGGAAGAAAACACTACGGATTATCAAAGACCCCCATCACCCCAGCCTCAAACTGTTCTTTCTGTTGCCGTCTGGCAGACGTTACCGCAGCATCCTGGCAAGGACAAGAAGATTCGGAGACAGTTGCTTCCCGCGGGCAGTGAGACTGTTAAAAAATTGAACTGCTGAAACAACTTCAAAAACATTCATCTGCTACTCAGTATTATGTATCTAATATCTAATATATATCATTCCAATAACTTGTATATAGACTCGTACTGCACTATTCCACATCATCACTTTAATTTATAACTATTTTTCTTTTGTATTGCTCTTGCTATCTGTATTATTATGTTGCATTGTTGGAGAAGCCTGTGACATAAGATTTTCAACAACATAATTACTCTGTAGCTATGTCAGTTTGACAATAAAGAACCTTGAACCTTGAACCTTGAACCTATGTTGCAAGAGCTGCACATGGAAAGAAAGCTTTAAAATCTGTCAAATAATTGCATTTCTTATTACATTATTGAAAGGGTTACCTATTACATTTCATAAATAACCTTCTCAACACTGTTTTAAAATCCTTATTTCTTTTCCAAATGAATGCACTGTTGCTTTAATCTGCTCAGACACATGTCGCAGCAGGAGGAAATGCTCCGTCTGTGTTTATACAACATCCACTCTGATAGCACCAAGCAGCAACAAGTCTGCACAACTACAGGCAACGTTTCACTTCTTTTGCAAAACTGTGTTCACAAAGAAACATGAAGAAATGCCAGATTTAATCCAAAATATAACCTCCACAACTGATGCATTAATAAGAACAAAGAACACTTTAACCTGTAGCAATGAGAGTACAGTATACTAACTCACAAGAGAGAGACATGAAAACAGAAACGTGTTGGAGATCACAGCAGCAGGGCCAACATATCCTGGCTTAGAGAAACAAATATGGAGTGTTATCTTTCTTTGGACTCTTTCTGGGGTCAATGCCCTCGTCTTTTTAATTCCCATGACCCCAGACTTCACAAAAACTCCTCCAGTGCGACAGGAACAATAAACAAACATTTCACTGGCTGAGTATAACTCTCTTTGACTAGTACACTGGCCTCGATGCAGAATAGTGGTGGCATTGTGCAGAAAAATAACTTCTCCAGAGCTCAGTACGACTCAAATATTGTCCCTGTGTCTGATTTGGGGTAAAAAGGCTCTAAAAGTTGCTAGAATTCAGCCCCTCGTTGTGCTTCAACCTACAAGTATGACATTTGGAAGGTATATGAAGCATGGTGAGACGCAAAGAAAAGCCTCTTGGCGCCATATCTTAAACCCAACAGGAAGTCAGCTATTTTGGATTTCACACGCAACTATGAGAGATTTAATTTGTGAATATTAGACGTGATTTTGTTGTGTTGTCTTTTCTGAAGCGTCACTAGTTTCACTGTGTAACCGTGTGTGTGTGTGTGTGTGTGTGTGTGTGTGTGTGTGTGTGTGTGTGTGTGTGTGTGTGTGTGTGTGTGTGTGTGTGTGTGTGTGTGTGTGTGTGTGTGTGTGTGTGTGTGTGTGTGTGTGTGTGTGTGTGTGTGTGTGTGTGTGTGTGTGTGTGTGTGTGTGTGTGTGTGTGGCAGAACGGGAATAGCCACCTGCAGAGGGTCCAGGACGATGCGGACGAGGTGAAGGTCATCATGATGGAGAACATGAACAAGGTCGACGAGAGGTCGGATAAACTGGGAGACCTGGAGACCCGAGCTGAGGATCTTCATGCAAAGGTGAGGAGAACATTTTAAAGAGTCCTCTCCTGCTGATGTTCAGGTGTATATCAGTATGTAGTGTCTCTACTTTAAAGAGTCCTCTCCTGCTGATGTTCAGGTGTATATCAGTATGTAGTGTCTCTACTTTAAAGAGTCCTCTCCTGCTGATGTTCAGGTGTATATCAGTATGTAGTGTCTCTACTTTAAAGAGTCCTCTCCTGCTGATGTTCAGGTGTATATCAGTATGTAGTGTCTCTACTTTAAAGAGTCCTCTCCTGCTGATGTTCAGGTGTATATCAGTATGTAGTGTCTCTACTTTAAAGAGTCCTCTCCTGCTGATGCTCAGGTGTATATCAGTATGTAGTGTCTCTACTTTAAAGAGTCCTCTCCTGCTGATGCTCAGGTGTATATCAGTATGTAGTGTCTCTACTTTAAAGTGGACCTATCATGCTATATTTGAATAATATAGTGTAGGACCATACCTATATAAGGCATATTTATACTTTTTTTTTTCAAAATACCAAACAGATCATGCATTTTAGCCATGCCTCATTTCGCTCAATTTGCACTTTTTTACCCCTGTTTTTGCAAGGGTTGATTCTGTGAGAACAGCACCATCTACTGGCCTGGCATATGTACTACAGCGTCTCCAGCGCTTTAGAACGGCAATGCCGTGGCTGTCTCCTCCTGATTGGTGGAGTTGGCCCAATAGCCGTAGCGCCACCATCCTGACGTCAGGACAGTGTTCAAATCTGGATCAGTTTTTATCAGATCCGTTGCAGCCCCTTTTTTAGAGATTTGGGTATGGAGGAAAATAGAGAGGGTTGTGTTTTCTGACACTTGGTGAGTTCCCTGGAACACCGGGGACATATATTCATGTAGAAAAGACGTACAAAAGTGCATTTTGCATGATAGGTCCCCTTTAAAGAGTCCTCTCCTGCTGATGTTCAGGTGTATATCAGCATGTAGTGTCTCTACTTTAAAGAGTCCTCTCCTGCTGATGTTCAGGTGTATATCAGTATGTAGTGTCTCTACTTTAAAGAGTCCTCTCCTGCTGATGTTCAGGTGTATATCAGTATGTAGTGTCTCTACTTTAAAGAGTCCTCTCCTGCTGATGTTCAGGTGTATATCAGTATGTAGTGTCTCTACTTTAAAGAGTCCTCTCCTGCTGATGTTCAGGTGTATATCAGTATGTAGTGTCTCTACTTTAAAGAGTCCTCTCCTGCTGATGTTCAGGTGTATATCAGTATGTAGTGTCTCTACTTTAAAGAGTCCTCTCCTGCTGATGTTCAGGTGTATATCAGTATGTAGTGTCTCTACTTTAAAGAGTCCTCTCCTGCTGATGTTCAGTTATATATCAGTATGTATGTATATATATACAGGAGCCAACGTAATGATATTTAGAGTAAAAGCTGTAGTTGAGTTGAAGTATAAAGTAGCATAGCTTGGAGTAAAGTGCAAGTACTTTTTAATTTGACTTATGTACTGTACTCTAGTAAATGTACAGTTTATGATAAAACATGTTTTTGCCAGTAGTGTCTCGCCTTAAAACATGGTAAAGTTACACATAACTCTCCAAATGTGTTAGATTAAAGATATGTATTCAGTATACATCCCTACAGGTAAATATGGTAACATATAGTGTTTCTGTGTGAAACTACTTCCACACGGGTTAACAGGAGGAAATGTCATATTGATGTCTATAAATACTCCTGAGGTGGAGCTGGAGAGGAAAACAAATGTACAATTTACATCCTGATTGTGTTTTATGGTGCTATGTTTAGAAAGGTATTTCCTATTGTTTCCTAAGATGAGTGAAGCTGGTGTGCCAGCGTCCGTCCGGGGTCAGCGGGGGGGTCGCATCGTTCCCACTGAAACAGCTAACATGCAGAAAAACTGACAAGTCCTGTTAGTCTAGGTGTAATGATAGAAATGTATAGTATGTGCAGAGATGGCAAAAGTACACACATCCTTTACTCAAGTAGAAGTACAGCTACTCGTGTTTAAAAAATACTCTGGTGAAAGTAGAAGTACTGACTAAACTTCTTTACTCAAGTAAAAGTAAAGAGGGCTTTGAAATGTACTTCAGTAAAAAGTACCCATAACTAGCAGCTGTTTTAAAGAGTACCTGACCTCCCTTTATATTAATAGAACAATAATGTCATTGTTAGCTAATGAATGTTTCCATGCTGAACAACGGCAACATGACAACGTTTTCATTGGTCCCTCTTCTTTAGAGAAGACCAGGAAATGATGGATACACGGATCGTGTTCAAATCAATAGGCACGCAATGACTCTAAATAATAATGATCACGCCACCAAACACACATTCAGACTAAAGGAACCAGCCTGTTTGGGAAATGTGAGAAGTAGAAAGTACAGGTATTTGGGTTCAAAATGTAAGAAGTAGAAAGTACAGGTATTTGTGTTCAACATGTAAGAAGTAGAAAGTACAGGTATTTGTGTTCAACATGTAAGAAGTAGAAAGTACAGGTATTTGGGTTCAAAATGTAAGAAGTAGAAAGTACAGGTATTTGTGTTCAACATGTAAGAAGTAGAAAGTACAGGTATTTGTGTTCAACATGTAAGAAGTAGAAAGTACAGGTATTTGTGTTCAACATGTAAGAAGTAGAAAGTACAGGTATTTGTGTTCAACATGTAAGAAGTAGAAAGTACAGGTATTTGTGTTCAACATGTAAGAAGTAGAAAGTACAGGTATTTGTGTTCAACATGTAAGAAGTAGAAAGTACAGGTATTTGTGTTCAACATGTAAGAAGTAGAAAGTACAGGTATTTGTGTTCAACATGTAAGAAGTAGAAAGTACAGGTATTTGTGTTCAACATGTAAGAAGTAGAAAGTACAGGTATTTGGGTTCAACATGTAAGAAGTAGAAAGTACAGGTATTTGTGTTCAACATGTAAGAAGTAGAAAGTACAGGTATTTGTGTTCAACATGTAAGAAGTAGAAAGTACAGGTATTTGTGTTCAGCATGTAAGAAGTAGAAAGTACAGGTATTTGTGTTCAACATGTAAGAAGTAGAAAGTACAGGTATTTGGGTTCAACATGTAAGAAGTCAAAGTAAAAAGTCGTCAGAAAAATAAGTAGTGGAGTAAAGTACTTATACCAGAAAAATGTACTTAACTAAGTAACAAAGGTATTAGCCTAAGTTTCATTAATTAGCATTAATGGCCTATGACGACAATAGTTAAAATATGGCTTTGCATATTTGGGCATTGGGTATTTCTTTGTGGTTTTGGGGGTTATAAGATAAGATGTACTTTATTAAACCCAATTTGGGAAATAGTTTTCGTTGCAGCAGCATAAAAAGACAAGGCATTGTACATTAGAGAAATTAAAAGACTAGAAATAAACAATCCAAAATGTAAACATCCCAAAATAGAAATAGAAATAAACCAGCAATAGAGAGTAAGAAAAAATACAGATGACACTAAAGATAAAAAAATCTCTTAAAGGTAGGGTAGGTAAGTTTGAGAAACCGGCTCGAGATCGCTAGAATTTGAAAGTACACAACCGGAGAAAATCTGCCACTTCCTTACAGAGCCCCTCCTCCAACACACACGAACGCGCACATGACCAATGAGGGCACGAGATAAGTTTGTGCACAGATGGAAGGCTGACAGGCAGGTAGGCCATCCAGTTATTTTAGCTGGGCCGGCTCAGATGATTGGTCGTGCTTTTTACAGTACTACTGCTTCCACAGATGATATTTTTTTATGGATTTTTTGTCAAAGCACTTCAGATATTCATTGCTATCGGGATGTTAAGAGCATTCCATGGAATATAACAAAAAGTGTATCTCGAGCCGGTTTCTCAAACTTACCTACCCCACCTTTAACTGTCTGACAAATAAAAACATTTTAGGAGGGCCAAAACAGTTATTTTTGAGGATTGACAAATCCATTACTGACATTTTCAATCATGGCAGTTTTAAGCAGAAAGTGGCCATATTTGCCAATAAATAAGCAATCTATCTAATCCAAATGATCCAGCGTCCACTAAAACTTCCAAATTGAACCAAAAATAATCAAAATCAGCCCACAGAGAGCACAATATGACTTTAGATTGATGCAAAAACATGGAAAATCCAACATGAGGTTATAGTTTTGTGGCAAAAAAGTGGTGTGCAAATGTGGCGTCTTCTTCTGGTGTTTTGTTTACAATTGATTTGTGATATGTCCGTCTCATGCAGATTTTCACCTGCCTTCACTGTGTTATGTTTAAAGTGTGAAATCTTTTATAATGTGATGAATGCTCCACAGTGTGATGTAACAGCGTTGTGGGAACCATGTGACCTGCTTGACCCCATCGTAGTCATGTGATCTGTTGGTAGTACAGACATATTGGCCGAGAAAATTACAACATATATTTTCTGGATTTGATATGTTTTCTTTGTTGGCTTTGGAGGTTTTACAAGAGTTAGTATTTCAGCTTTTGGTTCACACAGACCTTTAAAGCACATCTTATATCCGTTGCTGTAACACTGTACATGTCCCTGCTGTGGGACGTAAAGGGTTTCTACTTCTGATTTTAATTATTTTTTTAACATTTATTAGAACAAGTTCCTTGACAGTGAGTCTCACACAACATGGTACAGATACAATATCATACTGTTATATACAAATATCGATATATAATATAATCAAAAAGTACAATATACAATAGTAATTATCAACAAAGCTTAAGAAATATAAAAAAATGTAGATGCTTACAATATATTCACTTTGCCAAATACCTTACAACAGGTGACCATTTCTCTAAATACTCTTCCATCTTGAGTTGTAGTTTCGCTGTTACATTTTCCATACAGTTTACAAGTCTTTGTGTCCATTGGTCCAAAGTAGTGAGGTTCAAGCCAGTTTATAGCAATCATTTTATTAATAGCAAAGCTCTGAGCATATACGTCTTGTCTTTTCCTAGTTCTGATTTTAATAACACAACATGGGTAATGTAACCGGTTCTTTGTGTGTTTTCTCCCCAGGCTAAACAATTTGAGAAGAAAACCGACAAGGTGATGCAACAGAAGCACGGTGAGAACAAGAAGATGCGCTACGTGTTCATCGGCATCGGAGTGGTGGCCGCCATCGTTATTATCGGACTCATAGTTTTCGCCGCAGTTTGATAACCTGCAAGAAGAAAAAGCTTTTCTGCTGATAAAAGGGATCAGGACTAAGATATGAACTCCGGGGGAGTTCCGTCTGTGGGGGACGTCTCTCCTGCAGGGCTTAGTGTGGAATATTTCTGTGTCTTTAAGATATATTTATGGGATAGTCTATCCCACTCTTCAATTCAGTTGATATGGTACCATTCATTGCTTTGCTGCTTTTTAAAATAACTTCTCAAACATCGAGTCTCTGTCAGGCCCACAAATCCTAAAATAACATCTTAATAAGGACTTGCTTTCTCAAGCTGTAGTCTGGATATGGATGGGCGATATCTGTATTATAAAGATATGGTGATATAAGTCACATTTGGATATGGTTATGTGAGGTATAATGTACAGTGGTTATTAATGAAAACAGACCTTATAGGGAATTGGAACCGTGGTGCATTCAGGGACATCACGGCCATATTTGTAGGAAATTGTTTATAGCAACAGCAGCAGCCATCAATATATATTGCATTATTACATTACATGTCACTTGTTAGTCGCTTTTATCCAAAGCGACTAACATACTCAATACTGTGGACAATTCCCGCAGGAGCAATTTGGGGTTAAGTGTCTCAGGGACACAACGACATGCTGACTGCAGTGGGGTTTGAACCTTTGCTCCCATGATCCCAACACCAACGCACAACCCACTGCACCACACGCCTCCGTATATATCAGCGTTTCCCGGTCATCTGTCAGCCGTTTAACATCCGAAATGAATAAAATATGCGCGAAATATCAATGTCCTGACAAAGAGAAGCTCTAGTTAGAAACAGAGGAACGTTAATACAAAAAAAGTTAATTAAAAACATCTGAACTTAAGTGGAGAACGGACCGATCACTGGTCAACTCGTCGCTCGTCTGATAGTTGAATTTGTTGTATGCGTATAACAAAATAAAGAACCTGGAACCTTGATTTAATTTAATAATATCACAAGATTTGATTTTCTCCATATCGTTAGAGTTCAATTTATGCTTTTCATTTGTTTTCTGTTTAATGTAGTTTAATTTCAAAGTGCATGCATCAAAGTGGACTTCATTTAAAGATGTATTTGCGATCTTCTGTGCATAAAATCCCCTTCAATGATCCAGGATGTCTCTTTACACAGAGGGGTTCAGGCAGGGGTCTCAAACTCAAGGCCCGGGGGCCAAATCCGGCCCGCGACTTCATTTTATGTGGCCCCGCAAGAGCTTTCAAAGAATATAATACGTTTATTATACGGTTACATGCCACTTTACAGAAGCAGGTTGTCCATAAACTACATGTCCCACAATGCATCTCGTTTTGTGACATGTGCACTGAAGAGACTTGCAATTATTTGCCCTGGACTTCTGCTTTCAGACGTAGTTAATTACTAAGTTATTATCCTATCCGATAATAATCCAATTCAGAGGCAATAATGTAATATAATATATTATTTTATATATATACAACCGGCCCTTTGAGTGCAACCTTTATGCGAATGTGGCCCGCAATGAAATTGAGTTTGACACCCCTGGGTTAAAGGGTTTTACAGCCATTATCAGAAGTCTCCCATACAAGGAATTTGCTTTGGTGTTTCGGTGCATATCATAAACACAGTCAAATGTATTCAAATGAAAAGAAATCGAGCAAAAATTTGCAAAAAACATAAATATATAAAAATGTAAGTACAGTAAAATATGAAACAATACTGTAAAAAATGCAGAGTATACGTTAATGAACAATGGAAGAGCTATGCCGTTGTATAATTGGTAGTATCGTGCAGAAACGTGCAACATAAAACATACAAAAAGCATATAAATTATGTTATTTAAAAAGCCAAAAACGGCAGAGACGGATCCGTTCCTTCTCCTCACATTTATCTCAAACTACTTTTTTAAATGTCACTATTTCTGTGGGATTTATTTAGCATATTCTGTATGTGCACTTTGTCCAAGATTTCAAGAAAACAAACTTTAAATCCGTCCTCTTCCTCTCATGTTCACCTGTGTCTTCTCAACAAGTGGATGCAGCCAATAATCCTGCATCCTTGCAATCTGGTCGTGAATTACTCCCCAAACATAATTAGGGCTGATATATCTTTTGCTGTTTTTGTTGTACATTGTGCCATCTGTGAGTGAATACAGAGGAGAGTGAAGGAACAGATTTTAAACTGGGTAAATAGAGTGTATGCAGCTGTAGATAACTCGCATTGGAAAACATGAACTGATGTATTGTAACGTAGATTTTTTTTCTCTGATTCATTAAAATGTGTTTAAAGGAAACCAAAGACTCAATTTTTTGGAGTGAAATTGGATGGTGTTTTAGTCAAATGACCACTTTAAATCAAAACTAGTAATAGTCCAAAAGGTTATTTTGAACTAGAGCTGCAACAATTTGTCAATAGACTGAAAAAATTATCAACTTTTTTGCTTTTCGATTCATAATTTTAGTAATTCTTCATGCAAAAATGGCCCAAATTGTTGTTTTCAGCCTCTCAAATGTGGAGATTCTCTAATTTTCTCAGTTTTGACAAAACAAGACTTTTAAAGACATGACCTTGGAATTTGAGAAACTGGGAAGGCAATTTCACTTTTTTCCAGAGAAAATGGCAGCCTCAGATTGATTAATAATGTAAATAATTATAGTAAGTAGTAATAGTAAGTTGCAGCCTACTTTGTGAGAAAATGTGAGTCTGAGTGGGAACAAATGCAGTGTCTGTTGTAAATGCAGTTAATGTGAGGATTACCAGTGCCTCCTGCTGGTCAATGGTTTCACTTTGGATATTGTTTGGTTGGTATGGTTTATTGCGCAATGAGTTTAAACAGTTGACTTTATTTGATCAGTTATGACTCAACCTTTTTCCTGGTTTTGTTTTTGTTGAAACACTTCTATTGACTTTAGTTTTACTGGAGTAAAAGATCATATATATTATTCTGAAATGGACCAATCTGCACAATGACTACTTTTACTTTTGGTACTTTAACTATATTTTGATGATAATACTTTTCTACTTTTACTTGAGGAACATTTTGAATGCAGTACTTTTACTGTGACAGAGTATTCCTACAGTACACTCTGGTACTTCTACTTTGACTAAAGTACAAGATCTGAGTACTTCTACTTTTACTCAAGTACAAGATCTGAGTACTTCTACTTTTACACAAGAACAAGATCTTAAACATTTTGCTGGATTTATTTGTGAATATTTACAGCGTTGCTGCCCATAGTGATAGCCCTATAGTTTAAATCTACTACCCAAACATATACATATGGACATGGGTTACTATTTATAAAAAAAGTGCAAATGTATTTAGGAACCTATCCATATGAAGATATTTTAAGTGGGGGTGGACCTCAAATCCTCTAGGGGGGTCCGGGGGCATGCTCCCCCGATAAGATATTTGTTTAAATTTTGGAGTTAAATGCATCAATCTGGTGCATTTTGAGGGGAAAATAAAGAGACTAGATCTTATTGCGGTGATAACTATTTAGATAAATAAGTCAATTGCAAGATGACAAATAGATGAATGTTTATGGAGGCACTTTACAGAGCTCAGGGGCCTCATTTATAACGCCTTGCGTAGGATTGACGTGAGAAGGTTGCTTACGTAATACAAAGCAAAAAAATAGGTACAGAAATGTTCCGACATTTTCCGATTCACAAAACATTGCGTACCGGCGAGGGAAGTGCGTACCGGCACTTCCTACGCCTGTTTCCCTTTATAAATCACAATCGACTCGAAATGCGGCGCAGCTTTTGCAGGCTTCACGTAACGCCCATATTTACCTATAAATAGTCAAAGAAACGCCCATTCATTCATTCATTCATTTTGACTGACTGCATGAAGAAGATCGCAGGAAATGACGACAGAACAGCTAAAAAAGACATCTCACACCGTGTCATTTTGGTTATTGTGGGGAGGTCGAGATAAATCATATTGTTTGGTGGATGCAGTTTGAACCAGAGTAGCACCATGGAGGTCGGATCGTCACCAAAATAAATATATAAGTGGTCCGAAAAAAGTTAATGACAAAAAAAATACACATAACCTTCCTCAGGCAGTGTGTTTGTCCCGGGGACAGGAGACACCCCCTTGATGAGAAACTGTAAGAAATGATCGGGGAATCCCTCCGGAGTGGAGTCATGACGACTGGATCTGAATTATTTTTGTTGTATTTGGTGGTTTGTGTTCCAGCTGTCGATCAGCAACTATATATCCACCAGTTAAATGAAATACAACTAATGTGTTGTGTTATATTAGCTGTACAATTTACCACATATGGTGTTCTTAGTTTCCATACCTCCTGTGTTTTACGAGCGACTTATCAAGTCTTGGCAAACGGCATAAAACACGATTAAACGTGATAGTATATAAAACCATGCTCGTATCTACAACCTATAGAAATGCAAAACGGCGTCAGTTTAGACGTAATTCTGTCCTCCTGCTTACCGCATCATTTATGAGAAAACATTTCATAACATTAACACAACATATTCGAGGTGGTTTTAAATAACATATCCGTATTTATTTATTTCTCCAAGTTATGTTTTTGTGTGCACTGAGGAGTCTCAAACAGGCGTTTGTTTAATCATTTTAAGGTTGGCTTTAATCAATGTTTGAAAATGAATTCTTCATATATGATAAATGAGAGGTAACATTTTATTTATTTCCACATATTTCTCTCCATTCTTCCTTCTGCCAACGGTGTCGCAGTTTCTCGTCTCTCCCGTTGTTGTGCTTAGTGCGTACGCATGGGTTAGAGTTTGCGTGGAGGACAGCACATTTTCCCGTCAAGTTAGTATTTTATAAATCGCAAACATTGCGTAGAAACTGGCGTACGCCATTTTTTGAGCGTATATCCCTTTATAAATGAGGCCCCTGGTGTTTAGCAGTCTTATGGCCTGTGGAATAAAGATCTGAGTACTTCTACTTTTACTCAAGTACCAGATCTAAGTACTTCTACTTTTACTCAAGTACCAGATCTAAGTACTTCTCCCATCTCTGCTTTTGGTTTCGATTTTATTTTTTTATTGACAAAAATATTTCAGACATGTAACTCCACATAAACGATTTAAATACACGAATAAAGCAATACATACTTATACTATTGTTATTTAAAGCATATACAATAGGGATAAATACATAAGTATCAAATAACAATTCGAAAAAATCACGTACGTAGCTTTTGTGACCCGGAAGTGACATCAGCAAGTTCTTCCTGCAGCAAGACCGGCAAGATGGCGGCGGACACGCAGGTTTGTGAGGCTGGTTTTTAAAACATTTTCCGCTTTCATTCATGAATTCAAGAATGCTACAAAAACCCAATCAAGTATATGTTTACTTCCGATTTATAAACACACTGCTGTGTTTCGCGATTTAAAGACGGTGTTCAATAAAAGCTGATAGCAGGCTGTTAGCTGGATGCTAACGTGCTGTGACGTCACCATGCTAACGGTAGCATTGAGATTAGGTTTTAATTTCATGATTTATTGTTTTGTAATCTATATCTTCTGGTGTTTTAACTTAATGTCCTTAATGTAAACTGTTTGAATTAACCTAAATTAAGCAGACTAGCATCTCGTGTGATGATACACTAAGCCACGCCTTCTATAAGGAGTTTAATGATAAAGAGTGGGTTCTTTAAATCTATTGTAGTTAGTTAGCATGTTGACAAAGTTTAAACACATGGACCTCAGTGTGTGCTGCTATTCACTTTTTTTGCAGACCCGAAAAAGGGAACACTTCTGTCTTTGTATTTTAAAAGTAATATGAAGTACAATTGAAGAACAAACCTAAAACTTACATTAGTCATATTTCACATTTTAACCATATGTTTAAAATCCTTTATTTGTCCTGCAACGGGGAAATGTACTGCATTACAGCAAAAAGACAGTGCAGATTAAAGTAAGAAGAGTAGACTTACATACTATATAACAAAGTAGGCACACTTTATTAACAATAAAACAACTATAGGTTAAAACAACACCATGTAAACCGTATTAAAAACAAAGTAATAATAATAATAATAAGCTTCATTTGTATAGCTCTTTTCATGGAATAGGTGCAGCTCAAAACACTTTAACAGTTACATAGACACAGCAGTAAAAGGTATGATAATACATAATAAAATGCTGATCCCTCTCGGTAGAATAAAGGACGACAAAATCAATAAATAGGATACAATATAAATAGCTATTTAATCAAAACAAAGTAGCAGTTTTTTGTGACCATATACAAATATTGAAGCAGCTAGTAATATCAGAATCCATTTTATTACCAAGTAGGATTATACATGTGAAGAATTTGCTTTGGTATACGTGGCATTATTTATATAATATATTGAAAAAAATACAATAAAAGCATAAATGTTGCACAAGTATGTAAAGTATGAGTACTTCTACTTTTACTCAAGTACAAGATCTGAGTACTTCTACTTTTACTCAGTACAAGATCTGAGTACTTCTACTTTTACTCAAGTACAAGATCTGAGTACTTCTACTTTTACTCAAGTACAAGATCCGAGTACTTCTACTTTTACTCAAGTACAAGATCCGAGTACTTCTACTTTTACTCAACTACAAGATCTGAGTACTTTTACTCAAGTACAAGATCTGAGTACTTCTACTTTTACTGAAGTACAATATCTGAGTACTTCTACTTTTACTCAAGTACAAGATCTGAGTACTTTTACTCAAGTACAAGATCTGAGTACTTCTACTTTTACTGAAGTACAATATCTGAGTACTTCTACTTTTACTCAAGTACAAGATCTGAGTACTTCTACTTTTACTCAAGTACAAGATCTGAGTACTTCTACTTTTACTGAAGTACAATATCTGAGTACTTCTACTTTTACTCAAGTACAAGATCTGAGTACTTCTACTTTTACTCAAGTACAAGATCTGAGTACTTTTACTCAAATACAAGATCCGAGTACTTCTAAAAGGTTTTATATTTACTGGCCGTGTTATTGCACATATCCGTCTTTTATATACATATTTAATGAGCATTACAAACAATGCCAATGACTGCTTGGTTTTAATTGCTGTTCATGTGACAATAACACCCTTTAAATTACAAAAGGTTCTTAAAAATGTAAGTATTACCAGCCCTCCCTCCCCCATGTGATCATGAACTGAGCATCTTGTGATTTATTTCTCCAGGTTTCAGACACACTGAAGAAATTTGCTGCCAATGTGACCACAGCCAGTGTGAAGGAGCGCAAGGAGATCTTTGGGGCGCTGAAACTGTGTACAAAGGGCAAAGGTGAGGGGATTTAA